CGCATGCGGTTCCCCCACCCAGGGCAGCGTTTCGTGGCCCCATAGGGAGCTCCACCGAAGGCCCCAGTGGGGGTGTTCGCATGCGGTTCCCCCACCCAGGGCAGCGTTTCGTGGCCCCATAGGGAGCTCCACCGAAGGCCCCAGTGGGGGTGTTCGCATGCGGTTCCCCCACCCAGGGCAGCGTTTCGTGGCCCCATAGGGAGCTCCACCGAAGGCCCCAGTGGGGGTGTTCGCATGCGGTTCCCCCACCCAGGGCAGGTTCGGGCCCATTAGGGCATGCGGGGCACCCGCTCCACCGAAGGCCCCAGTGGTGCTCTCGCATGCGTTCCCCCACCCAGGGCAGCGTTTCGTAGCCCCATAGGGAGCTCCACCGAGGCCCCAGTGGCTGCTTCGCATGCGGTTCCCCCACCCAGGGCAGCGCTTCGTGGCCCCATAGGGAGCTCCACCGAAGGCCCAGTGGCGCAGTCGCATGCGGTTCCCCCACCCAGGGCAGCGTTTCGTAGCCCCATAGGGAGCTCCACCGAAGGCCCGCCCCGGTGGCGCAGTCCGCATGCGGTTCCCCATCCAAGGCAGCGCTTCGTGGCCCCATATGGAGCCCCACCGAAAGCGGCACCCACAACGCGTTACCAACAATTGCTTATGGTTGGGTCTTTCGCCAGGATAATTTGGTTTTCCCAACCATCCTGTGGTGTTGGGTCCTCGTTTTGAAGAGACGGTGCCCGCGTCCTCTCCTCTCCTCCTCTTCCCCCTCCTCCCTCCTCCCCCTCCTTGCCCTCTGCTCTCGGCACACCTCTCACGCGTTTCGTGGCCCCATAGGGAGCTCCACCGAAGGCCCCAGTGGGGGTGTTCGCATGCGGTTCCCCCACCCAGGGCAGCGTTTCGTGGCCCCATAGGGAGCTCCACCGAAGGCCCCAGTGGGGGTGTTCGCATGCGGTTCCCCCACCCAGGGCAGCGTTTCGTGGCCCCATAGGGAGCTCCACCGAAGGCCCCAGTGGGGGTGTTCGCAGCGGTTCCCCCACCCAGGGCCCCAGTGGGGGTGTTCGCATGCGGTTCCCCCACCCAGGGCAGCCCGTAGCCCCATAGGGAGCTCCACCGAAGGCCCCAGTGGGGGTGTTCGCATGCGGTTCCCCCACCCAGGGCAGCGTTTCGTGGCCCCATAGGGAGCTCCACCGAAGGCCCCAGTGGGGGTGTTCGCATGCGGTTCCCCCACCCAGGGCAGCGTTTCGTAGCCCCATAGGGAGCTCCACCGAAGGCCCCAGTGGGGGTGTTCGCATGCGGTTCCCCCACCCAGGGCAGCGTTTCGTGGCCCCATAGGGAGCTCCACCGAAGGCCCCAGTGGGGGTGTTCGCATGCGGTTCCCCCACCCAGGGCAGCGTTTCGTAGCCCCATAGGGAGCTCCACCGAAGGCCCCAGTGGGGGTGTTCGCATGCGGTTCCCCCACCCAGGGCAGCGTTTCGTGGCCCCATAGGGAGCTCCACCGAAGGCCCCAGTGGGGGTGTTCGCATGCGGTTCCCCCACCCAGGGCAGCGTTTCGTAGCCCCATAGGGAGCTCCACCGAAGGCCCCAGTGGGGGTGTTCGCATGCGGTTCCCCCACCCAGGGCAGCGTTTCGTGGCCCCATAGGGAGCTCCACCGAAGGCCCCAGTGGGGGTGTTCGCATGCGGTTCCCCCACCCAGGGCAGCGTTTCGTAGCCCCATAGGGAGCTCCACCGAAGGCCCCAGTGGGGGTGTTCGCATGCGGTTCCCCCACCCAGGGCAGCGTTTCGTGGCCCCATAGGGAGCTCCACCGAAGGCCCCAGTGGGGGTGTCCACATGCGGTTCCCCCACCCAGGGCAGCGTTTCGTGGCCCCATAGGGAGCTCCACCGAAGGCCCCAGTGGGGGTGTCGCATGCGGTTCCCCCACCCAGGGCAGCGCTTCGTGGCCCCATAGGGAGCTCCACCGAAGGCCCCAGTGGGGGTGTTCGCATGCGGTCCCCCACCCAGGGCAGCGTTTCGTGGCCCCATAGGGAGCTCCACCGAAGGCCCCAGTGGGGGTGTTCGCATGCGGTTCCCCCACCCAGGGCAGCGTTTCGTAGCCCCATAGGGAGCTCCACCGAAGGCCCCAGTGGGGGTGTTCGCATGCGGTTCCCCCACCCAGGGCAGCGTTTCGTGGCCCCATAGGGAGCTCCACCGAAGGCCCCAGTGGGGGTGTTCGAATGCGGCCCAGGGCAGTGCCCCATAGGGAGCTCACCGAAGGCCCCAGTTCGCATGCGGTTCCCCCACCCAGGGCAGCGTTTCGTGGCCCCATAGGGAGCTCCACCGAAGGCCCCAGTGGCTGCTCTCGCATGCGGTTCCCCCACCCAGGGCAGCGCTTCGTGGCCCCATGGGGAGCTCCACCGAAAGCCCCCGTGGCGCAGTTCGCATGCGCTTCCCCCACCCAGGGCAGCGTTTCGTGGCACCATAGGGAGCTCCACCGAAGGCCCCAGTGGCGCAGTTCGCATGCGGTTCCCCCACCCAGGGCAGCGTTTCGTAGCCCCATAGGGAGCTCCACCGAAGGCCCGCCCCGGTGGCGCAGTCCGCATGCGGTTCCCCCATCCAAGGCAGCGCTTCGTGGCCCCATATGGAGCCCCACCGAAAGCGGCACCCACAACGCGTTACCAACAATTGCTTATGGTTGGGTCTTTCGCCAGGATAATTTTCCCAACCATCCTGTGGTGTTGGGTCCTCGTTTTGAAGAGACGGTGCCCCGCGTTCCTCTCCTCTCCTCCTCCTCCTCCCCCTCCTTGCCTCTGCTCTCGGCACACCTCTCACGCGTTTCGTAGCCCCATAGGGAGCTCCACCGAAGGCCCCAGTGGGGGTGTTCGCATGCGGTTCCCCCACCCAGGGCAGCGTTTCGTGGCCCCATAGGGAGCTCCACCGAAGGCCCCAGTGGGGGTGTTCGCATGCGGTTCCCCCACCCAGGGCAGCGTTTCGTAGCCCCATAGGGAGCTCCACCGAAGGCCCCAGTGGGGGTGTTCGCATGCGGTTCCCCCACCCAGGGCAGCGTTTCGTGGCCCCATAGGGAGCTCCACCGAAGGCCCCAGTGGGGGTGTTCGCATGCGGTTCCCCCACCCAGGGCAGCGTTTCGTAGCCCCATAGGGAGCTCCACCGAAGGCCCCAGTGGGGGTGTTCGCATGCGGTTCCCCCACCCAGGGCAGCGTTTCGTGGCCCCATAGGGAGCTCCACCGAAGGCCCCAGTGGGGGTGTTCGCATGCGGTTCCCCCACCCAGGGCAGCGTTTCGTAGCCCCATAGGGAGCTCCACCGAAGGCCCCAGTGGGGGTGTTCGCATGCGGTTCCCCCACCCAGGGCAGCGTTTCGTGGCCCCATAGGGAGCTCCACCGAAGGCCCCAGTGGGGGTGTTCGCATGCGGTTCCCCCACCCAGGGCAGCGTTTCGTAGCCCCATAGGGAGCTCCACCGAAGGCCCCAGTGGGGGTGTTCGCATGCGGTTCCCCCACCCAGGGCAGCGTTTCGTGGCCCCATAGGGAGCTCCACCGAAGGCCCCAGTGGGGGTGTTCGCATGCGGTTCCCCCACCCAGGGCAGCGTTTCGTGGCCCCATAGGGAGCTCCACCGAAGGCCCCAGTGGGGGTGTTCGCATGCGGTTCCCCCACCCAGGGCAGCGCTTCGTAGCCCCATAGGGAGCTCCACCGAAGGCCCCAGTGGGGGTGTTCGCATGCGGTTCCCCCACCCAGGGCAGCGTTTCGTGGCCCCATAGGGAGCTCCACCGAAGGCCCCAGTGGGGGTGTTCGCATGCGGTTCCCCCACCCAGGGCAGCGTTTCGTAGCCCCATAGGGAGCTCCACCGAAGGCCCCAGTGGGGGTGTTCGCATGCGGGCCCAGGGCAGCTTCGTGGCCCCATGGGGAGCTCCACCGAAAGCCCCCGTGGCGCAGTTCGCATGCGCTTCCCCCACCCAGGGCAGCGTTTCGTGGCACCATAGGGAGCTCCACCGAAGGCCCCAGTGGCGCAGTTCGCATGCGGTTCCCCCACCCAGGGCAGCGTTTCGTAGCCCCATAGGGAGCTCCACCGAAGGCCCGCCCCGGTGGCGCAGTCCGCATGCGGTTCCCCCATCCAAGGCAGCGCTTCGTGGCCCCATATGGAGCCCCACCGAAAGCGGCACCCACAACGCGTTACCAACAATTGCTTATGGTTGGGTCTTTCGCCAGGATAATTTCTCTTGCGTAGGGGCTCATGTGCTTAGCAAGGATGCCAGCAAAAGCCAAGCATCCGGACGGACGCGTAGGCAATCAAGGGCGCACTGGCAACCTCACGGGGAGGCAGAAAGCTGCTAGATCTTCTCAGACAGGTTTCGTTTCATTGAAAACTTAAGATGCCCACTGTTGTCCCGGTCGTCCGCGCCTGCGCTTGTGAGCCCAATGTTTCGGAAACCCATCGTTCATGCAGACAATTCGCCTCGCCAAAGACGTAGGACCATGTGCAGCATTTTTTTCGTACAGCTTGTTCTGTCTACCAACCGTATCTTGCGAAAGCGCTGTCGCCCCGGCCTTGTCGAAAACGATTGCGTTGCTGACCCGTGATATGAACGAGTGTGGGATTCCAAGAAGGCGCCGCAAACATCGGCAATGGAAAGCATCGAGCTGACATTTTCTTTTCTGCTTTCAACAACCAGAGGGAAAGCGAATCATACAGTAAGTAGGTTGCTCAGAACAACGCTTTTGTATGTGCTACGTTTCGTCTCCATCCAAGAGACGAGTGCGACCATAGTTTGCCCAGCTGCGTGAAAGTTTTGTTTGCTTCTCCCAGTCTTCTGCATAGCTCTCCGGACGCTTTCCTATCACACGCAATGCGCCCTCCCAAGTAAACATTCGACGTCGTAATTTCTTGATGTATGGATATTTTCATTCGTATTGTCTCCCCCCAGTTGAGTTCCAAAACATCTTTGCGCCTCTCCTCCACGATAGCGTTCAACATGTTCTGTGTCGCCCCCCATGTTACGACTGTAGTCGCCCTTCCCCATGGCGACAGGTGGAGTGGCCAGCGAAGGACCCGTGGGGCAGCATAGCGGGGTGCTCGTCTTCGGCGTCGTCGTCGCCGCCGTCGCCGAGCCCATCGGCGTCTTCGTCGTCTTCGTCGTCTTCGTCGTCGTCGTCGTCGTCGTCGTCGTCGTCGACCGCTGCCCTTCTCCTCCGCCCTCCTCCCTCCTCCTTTTTCATTCGTTCTGTTCGATCCTCCTTTGTCCTCCTCCTCCCCCGTCTCGCGGTCTAGTGTGTTAGCGCGGGAATGCGACCCCACGGGCCCCACGGTCGTGTTCATGCTCGTGCTCCTCCGATCTCCGCCTCCCACCTCCATCCCTGCTTCCTGCTCGGCGACGCCATCCTCGTGCTCACCTCTCCTCTGGCCTCAATCCCCGTCCCCCCTGCCTGCTCTCCTTCTCCCGTCTCCTCCACGCTCTCCTCTCCCTCCTTCCCTGACCTCCTCCTTTTCTTTGTTTTTACTGCTCCTCCCTCCTTCCTTCTCCCTTCCCTGCTTCTTTCCTGCCGTATCCTTCAGGACTGCAGGATCTTCCTAATTCCTAACGAGCAGGAGGGAAGAGCTGGCGTACAAGGAGGAGCAGGAGGGAGAGGAGGAAGAGCAGTTGGTGCAGCAGCAGCCTCAGGAGAGAGAGAGAGAGAGAGAGCAGAGGGGAGAAGCAGGAGGATGAGGAGCAACAGTTAAAAACAGCAGAAAGAGGATCAGGAGGAAGGGGTATCCTCGTACCTCCCCCTCCTTCTACTCGTCCTCCTCCGCTGTCCTCTTCCTCCCCCGCTGTCCCCTCCTCCTTCTCCTCCTCCTCCTCCTCCCTCTTCCTCCGCGTCTTTTGCTGCATCATTTTGCTGGTTCTCCTCCTTTGTAACTCCCCTGGGAACTCCAGAGCGCCCTCGGAGCACTGCCAGCGGCACACAGACAGGCGAAAACAGAACACCCGCCGAGACCTCCCGAAGCCCTCTGAATGCCTCCTCCCCAGACATCCGACGTAACGTGGCTCCCCAAAGGTCTGGATCCCTTCCCGATACTCTTCTTTCGTCTTGAGTCTTGTGTCCACTGCGAGAGGATATCAGGGCCCCTCCTTCTGCCATCCTCACTTGGAATTTTGTCCCCGCAGACCTCTCTTGGAGAGTCCCTGACTTTCTCGAGAGAGTCAGGGCAGACCAGAGCCGGACGTGATCGCGCCGTGGAAATCATGGCGACCGAAGGCGTTCGAGCAGTTTCGGCCTCCGGAGCCATTCGTGGGCTCGCGGGCTGGAAGCACACATACCCACGGCTCTGCGGGCCGAGGATAAGAGGCGTTCAATCGCAGATGTTCCGCGTCGAACGTATTCTTGCGACCGCGTATCCACGGGATCGCGCCCTGGAATCCAGACCGCGAGGGCGTGTACCACGTGGATACGTTCGCCGCTCGTGACGGGTCCTGGGGTCGTCCCAAAACGACTCAGGTTGAAAAGCTGATCCCCAAGGAGGGGTCCAGGCTTCTGCAGCTACGTTGCAGAAAAAAGCGACGTCGGATGTCTGGGTGTCTACATTCAAACTGGCTCCGATGTTGGGTCCAGTCCAGTCCAGTCCCTTGTCCACCTCTCGCCCCCCCACAGGAGGACCCTGGCGAAGATCTCGAGGCGCATCCAGGCGTGGCTACCCTGGCCCGCCAGGAGGCCGAAGAAGGCCATGTTTTTCCCAGTTCCTCCCCCGCCTACCCCACCACCTCCTCAACGCTCCCTCCTGGGAGGACTACGACATCTTCCTGAGGAACTGCGCCAGCTTTTGCGACGCCCTCTGCCGCCTCGTCGGCGTGGGCGGCCTCCCGGCATGGGCTGGGGGCCCAGTAACCTAGCTGCGCTCTCCTGACGGCGCCCACCAGGGCGCGGCGCAGGGCGCGGGAGGGGGGCGGCCTTTGAGAAGGCGGAAGGGTTTCTTAGAAGGCGTGGGCACGGGCATTCTCAGAGGGCTTTAGAAGCCCCGCCGCCTTCTTAGAAGGCCGCCCCCCCTCGCGCCGCCCCCATGTATCGCCGAGCGCGTTCCACTACTCGCAAAGTGCCTACTCGCAATCGTCCGACATACACAGGTCTTTCTCTGTGAAGTATGTCGTACATCCCCCGCGGCGGATCCAGGCGATTTGCGAGCAGTTGATTGGCGAGTAGTTGACCGCGCCGCTCCCATGTGGGCGCCGCCCACTCTCCCAGCGGCGCTCGCCTCGCCTCGCCTCGCCTCGCCTCGCCTCGCCTCGCCCCTTGACGTCCTCCGATCTGGCTTTTTGAGCCCGCGGCCCAAGAGCTCCGGACCCCTTCTCCGGGGGCAGTTCTCGGGGGCCCCCAAACGGGGTGGTGACCACACCGTGTGGTGAGTCGGTGGGGACTCGGGGTGACCGCACGGTTTTGGGACTTGGGTCGTTCTCCGGGGATGTCTTGGGCGACAGGGGCCTCCAGGGTTCCAAGACCGTGCGGTGACGGACCGTACTGTGAGGTCTCTTGGGGTCCCGAGGTCACCGCACGGTCTGTCACTCACGGCTTTGGGATCTCCAAAGTTCGACTCCTCCGACTCGATTCGATTCGATTCGATTTCGATCCATTCCGATTCCGATTCGGTTCGACTCCGGATTCCGAGTGGGCTTCGGCTTCTCAGTCGACACCTTACTCGCTTGCATATTTCCGCCGATTCGACTTATCTTGGGGACGTGTTGCTTCCCAGATTCATTTTTGATGGCCCGGGGGCCCGATAACGGGCCCCAGAGGCCGAAATCGGGGAAAACCCGCCGGCTGAAAAATCAGATCGTCGGCGAGTTGGGCGCTCTATCTATTTTTTTTTGTTTTGTTTCCCTCTCTCTCTATCTCTCTCTCCTTGTCGCCACTGTCGCCGGAGGAGGCAGAAGAGGAGGAGGAAGGAGGAGGAAGGAGGAGAAGGAGGAGGGGCTGGAGGAGGACGAACGCTCTATGCAGCCACATTAAGTCCGCGCAGCGTCAAAAGAATATGAAGAAGACGAGGAGGAGTAGGAGGAGGAGGCGGAGGCGGAGGCATCTGGCTGGTGGCCGCGGCCCCTTTGGATTTCGCGAGCTCGCACGTGGATGGGGCATGCGGCATGCGGCGCTTTGGAACGGCCGCGGCGCCCGATGCGTCTTCCGAAGCTGCCAGATCTTAGAGATCCCCGATTCGTCCTGGTACGATGTGTCCCCTTCATGGCTTCGTCTCATCGCTGGAACGCCGCCGGCCTAGAGGTCAAGAGCCTGCCAGAGGCGCTGGGCGCGGTGCGTTCGGCGACCATCCAGGCACCCACCAACGGCCGCGTCGTCGATGTCGGCGTCGTCGTCAGCTGGGGAGTTTCTCGAAAGCGATCCCCCAAACAGTGTTTGCGCTTAGGGATTATTGCATCTCCTCTACGGAACTGGGCCTGCCCGTCGTTCTGGCTGCTATGTTGCCGCCGTCGCCGCCCCGTCACCGCCTCGTCGCCGCCCGTAACTGGGCCTGTCTGTCGGTCTGGCGGCTACCTTACCGCCGTCGCCGCCCCGTCGCCCCGCTCGTCGCCACCGTCAGATTGTTCAGCAGATATTGCACAACACAGGTTGCACAACCTAGATTCTCTTTTCGAAAAGGAGAATCGACTCTCCCCCCCCGGGCTTATCAGCTCCCCTTTCGGGTGTGTAAATCATATATGTTTCTGACCACTCGTCCATCCTTAACATGAAATCATATCATCCCAGCCAGGCCGGGTTCCCCCCCTGAGGTTCCCTGGTACAAAAAAAAACACACTATGCGGTGACATTTTCTGTTCTAACATAGCACTTTTTCGCGAATCCCTTGCAACAAATGGGACGAAGTGCACACGCGCGCGTCGTCGCGCGCGCGCATGCCGAAATCCTTCAAAAACCTTCGGTGCCGGAAGGATTTCGCAATCGAGTTTCCAAAACACATACAAACACACATGGTTTCGCAACACGGATTTGCTAAAAAAGCTTCCGCGCGAGCTCTTGCGAAATCTTAAGAAAACCATAGGTCTTTCAAGACTTTCACAAAATGCTACCAAACGGGCTTCGCGCGCGCGCATGTCGAAATCTGTTGAACGCCCTTGCGCGTGTGCCGTCGCGCGAATCCTTTGCAAAAAACGGGACGAAGTGCAGACGCGCGTGTCGTCGCGGGCGTATGCCGAAAACCTTCAAAACCCATCGGTTTCGGAAGGATTTCAACATCGTGCGTCCAAAAAACTTACAAAAACCCAAGATTTCGCAACACGCATGTTCAACAAAAGCGTGCGCGCGCGCTCTTGCGTCGTCGTCGTCGTCGTCGCCGTCGCCGTCCTCCCTCCTCCCGCGTCGCCGTCGTCGTCATCGTCGCCTACGTCGTCCTCTGTCTTTCCTCGTGTTCGTCGTCGTCGTCCTCTTTGGCGTCGTGGTCGTTTCAGTCGTCGTTGTCGCCGTGGTCGTCCTTCCTCCTCCTCCCTCGTCGTCGTCGTTGTCCGCCGTCGGCGTCTCGTCGTCGTCCCTCGTATTTCGTCGCCGTCGTCGTCGTCGTCGTCGTTGTCGTCGTCGTCGTCTTCCCTCCTCCCTCGTCGTTGTCGTCGTCGGCGTCGCCGTTCTTCCTCCTTCGTCGTCGTTCGCGTCGCCGCCGTCCTCCTTCCTCCCTCGTCGTTGTCGTCGTTGTCGTCGTTGTCGCCGTCGTCGTCCTTCCTCCTCCCTCGTCGTCGCTTTCGTTGGCGTCGTCGTCGTCGTCTTCGTTGTCGTCGGCGTCTGCGCCGGTGTCGTCGTCGAAGTCGTCGGAGACGTCGTCCGTGTCGTCGTCGTCGTTGTCGTCGGTGTCGTCGTAGTCGGTCTTAAGAGGTTTTGCAAACCAAGTTGCGGGTGGGTGGGTGGAATGTTTGCGCGAGCAGTGGAGAGGACAGCTTCAAGACGGTCAAATATTAATTGCACAACATAGATTGCAACACAAATATTGCACAATGCACATTGCATTACCTATATTGCTTCACTTCGACAGCACAGCATCGCGCACCATATGGATTGCACTACATTGATGGCACCACACAGACTGCACACTGTACATTGCACGGCATGCAGTTCGCAAGTCCCGCCTCCCCCCCGGCCACCCCCTGCGAAAACACTATGTGCGCGCACTCGTTTAATCAACAATCATCAATTTCCAAGAACCCCTTGCAAAACATGGAACGAAGTGCACACGCGCGCGTTGTCGCGCGCGCAAGCCGAAATCCTTCAAGCACCTGAGTTTTGTATGGATTTCGAAACCTGGTGCCCAACACTTAAAACCGCCAGTTTCGCTACACGGATTTTCAAACACAGCTTGCGCGAGCTCTTGGGAGTTGTCAAGAAAAACTCAGGCCTTTTTCAGCATGTTCATACCATGCTACCAAACGGGCTTCGCCCGCGCTTGTCGAAATCGTTCGAATCCCCTTGCGCGCGTGCTGTCGCGATAACCCTTTGCAAACATTTGGACGAAGTGCACGCGCGCGTCGTCGCGCGCGCATGCCGAAATCCGTCAAACACCTTCGGTATCGTAACGGTTTCAAAACCGAGTGTCCGAAACACACAGATACATGTATACATATATAAGCCACAAGGTTTCGCAACATCAGTTTTCAAAAAAACTTGCGCTCGCGCTCTTACGAACTCTTACGGAAACCGTTGTTTTTTCTTGAACGTTTTCATTGGATTCTGCCAGGCGGACTTCTCGCGCCGCATGCCGAAATACTTCGCGCGCCCTTGCGCGCGTGCTGGGGGGGGGGGGGGCACGATCCGTGTCAAATAGTACAGGCGGGCCGCTCTCGCGCGTTGGCCGCGCGCGCATGTCAAACTCTTGCCAACAGCTTCTTCACCGACGCGAGGACGCCGTCATTGTCGTCGGCGCGATCAGCATCTGCGCCGTCAGGGGCCGCGCCGTCGTCGTTGCCAACGTCGTCGCCAGCATCGCTACTATCATAGTTGCGTCTACAGTTGTCGACGTTGCTATGGTATCGCGCCCGCCCAGGTCGCCGACTCGCATTGAAATGCCCGCTGGGATGTGCCCAGTGGTCAGCGCCACCGCGGCCGCGTCGGTCGCGCCAGGCTGGCTGGCCGCTGCGCGCGCGTGCTTGAGTTGGCGCGGCCGCAGAGATGCACCAGCCAACGCCAAGCACTCATCGCAATCGCCGCCGCATGGGTTTTGCAAACCAAATTGCGGATGGGTGGGTGGGATGTTTGCGGGAGCATGGGAGGTGGTCGAGCGTGGTGCAGGGTAGTCAATTGCACAACGTCGATTGCACCACCTATATTGTACACTATACGTTGCATGACCTATACTGCTTCACTTAGCTTGCACTGCGTAGTGCACCTTATGGGTTGCATTACGTTCGTAGAAACATATCGATTGCACAGTCGTTTTATATATACATATTGCACGACGTATACTGCACGACTACTCTTGTGCCACGCATGTACAACACAGGTTGTACCGCATACGTCGCACGACATTTGTTGCGCCACACAGCGTACACAACCTAGACGCCATTACACCTATTTCCGACCATCTATTGTAAACTCAACATTTTTGGCACTCAACAAATTGCGCAGCTTTTCGGGCACCATACAAAGTGCACATATGTTGCACCAGCTCGATTTCGACACAGGCATCGTACAGCATACATAGCACAACATATGTTGCACATCGGAAATATCACTTCGTACAGCTTACATCTTGCACTGCGCACATCATGTTGCGCAACCTAGACTGCACACCATTTATTGCACACAACACATTGCGCACCACATATTGCACAACGGAGATTGCACACGACATATGGCGCAACGCAGATGGCACCACATAGACGGCACAACATTTACTGCTAGAAACACATTGTTTGGGGTCCACGCGGGCTAACATCAAACGTTTTCGAGATTACGGGACCACGTGTGGCTTCCATCAGCTGTGCTTCGTCGATAGCTCTCAGGATGCCGGAGTTGCCGCGAATGGCTGTCTGAGGCCCGTATGGCCCGAAAACCACCTTGAGACGTCGGCGTTGGCCCCGTCGGTCGGGCCCCAGGAGGAGGATTTTATTTCACAGCTACCTAGTTCGATACATTCCCCTCGAGCGGCGACCGCCGTTGGGGGGGGGTGGCAGCGTTCTTCACCAAATCCCAATGCCATTCGTCTTCAGTCTTTATGGGAAGGAAGATGAGGAAGTGGTCGTCGTCGTTTTGCATGACGACGGGGACGCCGTCGACACCATCATCGACGTCGTTTTGGATGGTCGACGTCGTCGGCGTCGACCGTCCAGGCGCCCGCTGCCCCCAGTCCCCGAGGGCCTCCAGGGTTCCCCAGCTTGAAGTAATGTGGTTATGGCGTGCCTAAGCGCCGTTATTGGGACCAGTTCCCCGATGTAAGCACCCTTGCATGCAGATCTGGGCGATGAAATTCTTTTACACAGGGCGTTTTCGCCTTATCGTGGGCCCCCAGGACCAGCATATCGATCCGGCACGAAGAATGCAGCAGCTAGATTGGTTCTAGGGCTCAGGTCGAGAAATTTCATGATCTTGTAGTTTTTTGCAGCAGCGTCGGATCTCAGGGTGAGAGCATGGTGGGCGCGAGCGTCTATCGCGGTTGACACTGAAGGTCAGCGCGATCATTGCACAGCGTGAGGGCGGGGTAGAAGGGGGAGGAGGTGGAGGGGGGAGGATAATTGGCCCCATGCCTGCCCCCCCCGTCCTGTGGAGCGCTTCCGGCAGGACCTCGCCACCAATGGATATTGTTGATCAGAAGAGGAAGACCGCTTCACGGGGAGATGGGGAAGCAACCGAAGAGTCTGAGGGACACCGGAAGAAGGAGAAGGGCCGACCGTCCGCAGGCTGGCACTGCGGAGCGTCCAGGACATGCTTCTGATATGAAATTGCACGCATCACGTCCAATACGTTTTCGCGCGCCGCTTCCATGACTTGTGGATGCGGTTCCGCTTGGTTGGTTGCACAGTGCGCTGCGTCATCCTGGGGTTAGGGGAGTATGCCTGCGTAGCATGTAGGAGTAGATGACGTCGGAGTCGGTAGGAAATGAGAAATTCTAGACGCTTCGCGTAATGCCACCAGCCTTCCGTAGCCCCCCTGGCTCAAGCCGCGTCGGCTCGAGGTTGGTCGGCGCGACCTGGGTCCGCTGCCTCCGGGGCCGGCCGGATGGAGCCGCCCTCTGCACGGCGGCGCCGGCTGCGCCGCGCCGCCGCCGCCCGCGCCGCACCGGCGCCCCTCCCTGGCCGACCGCCCGCTCAGAGGGCCGCCGGCCCTGCGGCCGCTCGCGC